GCAGAATTAGCGATACCTTCATTAATAAATTGTAAAGCAAATGCCATATGGCCAGATTCAGGAAAAGAATTGTGAGAAGTCACAGTATCCTGAGAAATACCACAGGAAGCTTCAAAAGTTGAAGAAGGTTTCTTCGGCTTGGAAGGAGAGGCAAAAGGGATATGTGCTTCATCCCTCATCTATGTATACACCTTATCCCTAAGATCCTTCAAGGATGGAGGATCCTCAGTCTCCTTGGTGGGAGGTTGTTGAGCTGACTTAGAAGAAGGCTCAGGGGCCGTCTTCGATACCTTGGGAGAAGAAGAATTTTCAACATCCTCATCAGTGAGGAAAGCCCTTTCATGACTCCCAGGGGAAACAGAAAGCTCGTCATCCTCCCTCTCATCACATTCTACAGACTTAGCTGGAGAAGGTTGATGAGAAGAAACTCTATTCTCCAGTAGAGACATACGACTGGATAGAGTACTAAATTCAGTCTTGAAAGACTTACCAAAGTCCAAAAGTAACTTCTGAAAACCATCCAAAGATGATGCATGATCAGAACCCTGAGTACCATGAGAAGAGCTAGAAGATTGAGCTCGAGAGTCAGGTACGGTGGTAGAAGGAGCTACTGCAGGAGTCAAAGATACCCCTACGGGTGGAGCAGGAGCTAAAGGTGGTGCAGTAGCTACCCCAGAAGGGGGACCATAGAAATTGTCCCTATAAGGCCAAAAACCAGGTTGGTTTGGCATAAACCCACCATAAGGGTAAGACTGTGGCCAAGGTGGTTGAGACCATGAGGGTAAAGGTTGTGTGCCCGAGTTGGGAAGCATATACCCGCAATAGGATAATGGGGGTCTAGAAACTGGCAAGTTCAAGCCCATAGCTGTACCTGGGACAGAACTAATAGTACCCGATGAATTAACAGGCCTAGATAAAGTATGAGTCACCGAAGTTGACGTAGGTACCCCCCCAAAATGCATGGCCGAACCTTGTGAAAGGGTCAGATAGGTAGCATTACCAGACACCATTGTCGAAACTCCGGTCAATGTACTGGTAGTTTGGGGGGGACTTAAAGGTAGTGACCCATCTAAGAGATAGTCCGAACCAGGAATATTTACGTACGGACTATTCAAATTAAAGTCCATAATAAAATTTACTTTAGTCAAAAAAACACAAATAATTTGTTTAGAAATTCAAACTAAACAAGGGAATAAATTTCCAATAATATACACAATATATGAAAAGCAATTAAGCTATTCAAAAAACTTTACAAACAACTAAACACTTCTCTGTTGAATCTGTAATAATTTGCACATGTGACCGATGTCGCAGATGGAAATTGAATGGGAGAATATGGGCAAACAGGGGTATATGTTCGGACCAGTGAGAGTACGTTTATTTTTAGTCGGGATTTTCCATCTGACCTATGACGCAATTGGGGTTACACTCAGAATTTATGATGGTAACGTATTTATAGCTATAAAACCCCATTAACTCGAAACTTAAAATCTAAAATTTATAAAAATCGAAAGGGAGCTCCTGTCAATAGATATAAACAATTCACCAAAGTTTCATGAAAACTGCTCAAAGCATTTTTGAGTTATCTGAAGACTGGAAAATCACCCTTTTTTAATGAATAACACCCCATAACTCGGAAACGTAGAATCTAAAATTTATAAAAATCGAAAGGCAGCTCACGTCAATAGATATAAATAATTCATCAAAGTTTCATGCAAATTGGTTAAAGAGTTTTTGAGTTAATGGACAACATGTTGACAACAGACACAGACAGGCGCAGACAGACGGACGGACAGACGGACAACAGTATACCATAATACGTCCCGTAAACGGGGTATAAAAACAAAAATTAGTTCAACATTCTGTCATTTGTGGAAAATTTAAAGAAAATCAAAATCCTTTCAATATGCACACCATTAGTAATAAAGTATTAACACCATACAAAATATAAAGGTTCTAGCTTGAAAACTGTAGAGAAGTTAGCTTGAGAAACCATATACCCTGCATGCAAAATTTTAACAAAAAAGACAATAGTTTAACTCCTTGTTATTTGTGGTAAGTTAACAAATAGGCACGCCTCTAATATTGACTTATCACTTTTTGGGAATAGATTATTTTCATATGATATAAATTTTGCTATTTTAACATCTGTTCGGAAATATATCAGTGACACTCATCATTTTGTTTGAAAAATATCTTTCTAAGTTGTTTTTTTTTCCTTTCTTTTTTTCCAACATTACTTCATTTATTCCACTAAGTGATGCTTGCAAACCTTGTTGTTTATATATATTTCTAATGACTTATAAATGGTGTTGATATATACATGTCTCAGGGTACTTGAATAACTGATGATTAATTGCCTACAATTACTTGACTATAATATACATTTTGTAATTAACACGTTTATATGTGCTTGTTTATGTGTGCTCATTTGTAGCATGCATTAATCAACTGTAGATCTGCTATTTTGAATACAGTTGTTAGTATATGATTTATACCTTGTACATGTAATGTGGAGAGAGCTTTTATAGGCTGGGCCTGTTGTTCAATCCTTTTCATATCCTAATGAATAAAATATGATTAAAATCAACATCTTTAGTACATTGAGGATCCAGAAATCTTTCACATGATTTCGGTAAATTTTTTAGAACTAGAAAGCAAGGAAACACCAGTGTTTTATTTGATAGGGTACACTCATTTACACTGTTTGAATCACCTATTGTTGTGCAGATATCTATTGTCACCATATAGTCTGTGTCAATCAAAACAACTCACTAATATTATTACTTGGGGGGAACATCTCAAACATTTTTCCAAACTTAGTTTAATTTGGCATCTTCTGTGGAAAGGAAAATAAAAAATCTCAAAATCCGGAAAAACTTTTTGAAACATAAATGCATTTAAAATCTAATTATCTAGTTCCTGCCATGTCTTAAAACTCTTCCAGGTGCACATGTTTGTCTGTACTGAGAGCTAGTTTCATGGTGTAAACACGGCCATATTTGTCAATTATTTCTGATAACCCTTAAACACAGTAACATGTAGGGCCTGAAAAAAAATTGCAATCAAGATTTTGTAACTTGAAAATGCAATATGTAATCTGACAAAAGGGCTTTGATAATTATGTTAGATCTTCTCAATTTTCATTTAGATTAAAATGTTTTGACCTAAATCCCAAAATACATTTGGGTCAAGCTTTTAGATTCAGTCATCACTGGAAAATCTGACAGTTTACAGACCCTTGTTCTAGTATATATATATAACACTCTCAAATATGTCCATCCCCCCTAACGTGTCCAATCCCCCAAATGTGTCAATTCGCCCTAACATGTCAGAACTCTTTTCCCCCAACTTGGCCAATTATTTACTTTTCTCGAACATGTCCTATTTTTTACTCGGCCAAAGTGTCAACGATTGTTATCCGCCAAAACGTGTCCACTTTAAGACACCAGAACTCTAAAAACATTTAGCGCCAATATGTCATCTGTGACGTCAGTAATGTCTATAGAAAATTCAAAAGATACAATTGAAGAAATCAGGTTTCTGTTGGAGTCCAAAGGGAAAAAAAAATAAAAACCACTATCCAAGATTAACTTATCAATACAGATGTACATTTGGCAAAATTCCTGAAGATTAAAAAAAAATACTGAGTTAAAAGGAAATATGTTCATGAAATGTAACAATTAATCTGTATGTTTTTTCACCATTTGTTTGCATAGTTTAGGTGCGGATCCAGTCTTTTTTAAAAGGGGGGTTCCAAAACATTCAAGTCATATAAAAAGGGGGTTCCAACCATATGTCCCCATACAAAAGCATTAGTTGTCAAACAAGAAGGGGGGTTCCAACCCCCGGAACACACCCCTTGATCCACCACTGTAGTTAGTTGTATTTATGTATATGTATATATCATATCATTATATTTTGAGTTATTCAGGGGGCATTAGGGGGGATTAGTATTGTACTAACTGATTTTACCATCTTTAAATTAAGTATTAATTATTATTATTTATTACTATAATATCATAAAGAAGTAAAATCCAAAATGGAGACTTTGTAAAATTGCAGATATGGTAAGAGGTCCAAAATGTGTATTGAAGCTATTTTAAACTAATTCTCATATAATTTGCATATCTTTTAAATACCTAAATGGGATTGGTTCGTTAGAACTTTTCCCTTACCATTGTAAGAATGAAAACTTTCAAGCTGGAGGTTATTCTCTTACTTGTAAGCTTCAAATTTTGATAATTTAAAATTTGACAATGCCCACACTTTTTATTTGACATTCTGTGCCCATTCTGCTTCAAATCGTGGAACCTGGCCCTTTAAAGAGCTATTGCCCTTTTTTATAACAACAAAACAGCACCCTTTGAAATTATTACAATCAAGGAAGAACATTCAATAACCTAATCAAGAATGTTCTTTTTGTGCACTATAAGTCTAAGGTTCCTGTAATAATCTCAACTGGATTTGATATGCATTTGTGATAACAAGACACTATTTAATTATTAAAGGTGGATATGATTTGGCGTTTATGAAAAGGGCACGTTTTGGCGTCCTTGATCAACTAGACATGTTTGGGAGGTCAGTGACTTGATCAACTAGACATGTTTGGGAGGTCAGTGACTTCATATGGACACGTTTGGGGGATTGAACATGTTTGGAGGGATGGACATGTTTCTGAGTGTTACATATATGTACTAACATCCTGCATAATATAAAAGTTCTAGAATAAAAACTTAAGGAGGAGTTAGCTGGACAAACTATGCACCCTATGTCACTATGTGGGATGGACAGTAAGACAGATGGGAGGATGGACAAAAAGATAGACAGATACAAGGAAGGATAGAGGGACAGATGGACTGATAGACAGGCTCTCTAATGATGTGTGTCAAGTTTTTGTTTCCAATTCACCCACTGGTATCAGAGAAGATTTTGTAAAAAGTTGATGACAGATGCTGGATGCAAAAGCTACTTGTTAGTAAAAAGTATATATATTTTACCTAATAATTTCTCCTAATAATTCCTGGTCAGCCTTCACAGCTTTCATATCAGGGTGGTAATAATCTACAACAAAACATTGTGTCAAGTAACATTGTTTATGTAGGTTTATACCAGGTAAAACTATCCTACTTTTTTATTGCAGCCATATTGTTTGTTTGGTACACACACAACTTTTAAAAAATCTGTCAACAGTATGCAATATGTGGTTTAAATTGGTTTTTATTGAGGCTGGTAAATTTGTCCATGTTTACACCCAATTCTTAATTATTTCTCACTGCTATTAAATCAAATTTTGCTACATCAGAACCAATGTAAGCAGGGTTTTACAATGAATGTAAGAGGTCTTAGAATATTGATTTTAAGAACAAAAACTTATTACCCTGGTTAGGGCTGGTACCACATTTGATCTCGTTTGAACAATGGCTGAAACTTCTTAATATGTCACCCAGGTGGCCTTATAAATGGTCCTTTTTATTTTCTTAAACTTTTATATTTTAAGAGATATAAATAACTTTTCTTATTTGAGTACTACATCATGTTCTCTCTTTCATCCTTTAAGGTTCCCAAATTACTTGCCTTATTCATTTAGTATTTCCTGCCAAGTACTCTAACATTTATCTTGATGTGTCTTGTGGTTGTCTAAATGTTTGTATTGTTCCTGACATTATTTCACAGTGACATTGCCAGTTATTTTATGACAATTTTTGTTAGATTTTGTGTGGTTATGGAGTTCTTAAAAGAAAATGTTACTATCTTAGGTCCGAGTACACAGTTATTTCATAGTGCATTTCTTTTAGACAATAAATGAAAATTAAAAAAATCCCACCTGCGCTTTCTCAATAATATTTTTACAGTGTGTTGTACTACTTTTGGGACAAATTATATCAAAATTATAGAAAACTTCATCGGCTCTAACTCAAAATATGGACAATTTCATGTTAAGGGGGTCTTAAAATCTTTTGACAGCTTCCGAAGTGCTAATTTTTAACATTTTTCAGCTGGACCAAATCACTACTTTACTTTAAAATTCATGACCCAATTTTTTTTACAGTGTCATTTCACCCCCCTACTTACTATTTGAGTCATAAAACATGGAGAAATAAATTTGGAAGGGGTATAAAAAAATCGACAAGTAACACACTGTCCACACTAGGGACTATATTCGTGGACAACGAAATCAAAGGACGATAACTGTGTATCCGGACCTAATAGGGTGGAAAAAGTTGACCAATCTTTATGAAACTTGGTATGACCAAAGCTTATTACATTATAAGACTGCTTACAAAGTTTCATGGCAATAGAATATATATTATAGACAATATGACTAATTCTATAAACAACTTTGCGCGTTAAATTTAGACGTTAAAATTGAAATTTTTCAACTATCAACATTTGCGGCTTAAAATAATTAAAATATTGCAAAAAAATACTTTTGAAATGCCTTGATATATAATATATTATGTATTAAAAGCAATAGAGTACTCATTTGATTTATCAGACTTATCATAATTATTAAAAAGTCAAATTTATATGAGCCTGTGGCTAAAAATGGAGGTTTTCCAATGAAGGGGGGCCTTACATGAAGATGTAATATTTTCCAGCAATTTTAAATTTGTAAAGCTTTTTGGTTATAAATAATCCTTACATATGTATTTAATGTACTTTAAATGGAAAGAAAACTTACAAATAACATATCATATTAGTTTAAAAGGGTCTTGGGCCAAGTAAGACTGAAAATAATTTATGGTCAATTTAGGCCGTATCACATATTTACATTTAAAAATGCATATTGAAGCTATAGGAAATAAAATTTTGTGTCTTTTCTATCATTTCTATACTCAGGTTACATAATACAATAAATCTGAGCACAAAAAGACTCTTGCATTCAACTTTTTTTGCAGACAGTATGGTCTGATACAAAGATTTTTCACTTTTTAGTGAAAAACATGCATGCAATTTTAGTCTCAACAGGCTTATATTTGAACCACTTACAGAAGAAAAGAAATATATTATGTGACATAAAACAGGTACAAAAGACATTGTTAAGTGCTTTTTATACAAATTTAGTGAGGTCTTTATAATGGACTTCAACTTTTATGTTCCAAGCTCCTCACATTTAACTTGATCCAAACAGGGCGTTAGACGAGGATCATATATACAACACATTTTGCACATATTGTCTGAGATAATCTTCTTTTCTGTAGATTCAGAGTTCACAAATGAGTAATACAAATGGATTGAAGCATAGAAACACAAATATTGACACATAAAAACCTGTCAGATAGAAAGTCAGAATGCCACTTATGCATCAAAATTGAAAAAGCTATGAAATGCTTATTTTGACCATAAAATGCCAAAATTGGTCATTTTTGCAGAAATTCTATCAAATAAAAGTTTAAATCCTTTAGTTTTATGCTATTTGATAAATTGACACCATCAAATCATTCAGGGAAGTTGCCAAAGTACAGATTCTATATTTCCTGATTTCACCTCTTAGGTCCAAGTACACAGTTATTTCGTAGTGCATTTCTTTTAGACAATAAATGAAAATTAAAAAAATCTCACCTGCGCTTTCTCAATAATATTTTTACAGTGTGTTGTACTACTTTTGGGACAAATTATATCAAAATTATAGAAAACTTCATCGGCTCTAACTCAAAATATGGACAATTTCATGTTAAGGGGGTCTTCAAATCTTTTGACAGCTTCCGAAGTGCTAATTTTTAACATTTTTCAGCTGGACCAAATCACTACTTTACTTTAAAATTCATGACCCAATTTTTTTTACAGTGTCATTTCACCCCCCTACTTACTATTTGAGTCATAAAACATGGAGAAATAAATTTGGAAGGGGTATAAAAAAAATCGACAAGTAACACACTGTCCACACTAGGGACTATATTCGTGGACAACGAAAATCAAAGGACGATAACTGTGTACCCGGACCATATGATGGAACATGCATATATATGGATCCTTTTATTACCTACTCCATATGGAAGTTATCACAAAAAGATGGAGAGATAACCTAGAATTATTTGAGAAATCCTAGAATTCCTGAATGTTCTTCTGTTGTGAGTTTTCAACATTAATCAGGTTAATACGAAATGCATTTACAAATAAACAGGAAGAAAGTTTATGTCTGTAATAGGAGGTTACAAATGTAAATACAACATGTCCAACCATAACTATACCTCCTCAGTTTGAACCTCACATTTTCCTGAAAAATCTGACAATTTGTTCCTTTATCATTGTAAATGTTTGTTTCTTCTTTTATCCTGTTAGTTTCTGGAATTACTTGCCCTGTTCATACAGTATTTCCTGCCAAGTAATCTAATCTTGATGTGTATTGTGGTTGACTATTTAAATGTTTGTATTGTTCATTTTATTTTATGAACAGATGAATTTTTTGGTAGTAAATTGGTTTTTCTTTGTAATACTCTACTAACCAGGTAACAAGTCATTGATAAGTGTATCCATCAACCAAAATACTTTTTCTTCATCTTTAATAAGCAGTAATAATAAACCAACAATGAAGTTCAATCCCTAGAAAATAAATGTAATTATACACCATAAATAAGTTCAATCCCTAGAAAATAAATGTAATAATAAACCAGCAATGAAGTTCAATCCCTAGAAAATAAATGTAATATTACACCATAAATAAGTTCAATCCCTAGAAAATAAATGTAATAATAAACCAGCAATGAAGTTCAATCCCTAGAAAATAAATGTAATAATACACCATAAATAAGTTCAATCCCTAGAAAATAAATGTAATAATAAACCAGCAATGAAGTTCAATCCCTAGAAAATAAATGTAATAATACACCATAAATAAAGTTTAATACCTAGAAAAAAAAACATCATACATAAAAACTTATCAAATATACCAGGCTGAAAAGGATGTTTTTGTCATCCGTGGTTCACAAATCAAAACAATTGGAAGTTCAATTTTTTACTATTATAGGGGACAAAGTCAAGGTCAGAGTGATTTGACTTAGGTATAAGACACACCCTCATGATGGTGGGGCACTATTTTTAATGGTACCAAAATAAGGCACTAGACACTAAGTGGGAACAGACAGACAGACAGACGGACATGGTGATTCCTATATACCCCCAACCCCCAAAACTTTGTTTGCAAGGGGGGGGGGGGGGGGGGGGGATAATATAAGCAACCAGTCTATTTGTAGTGTAAAAGTATATTTGACCCAATTATATATACACAAGTATACACTATGTTATTAAGAGCTCTGTTATAAGGTCAACTAATAACAGGATTTATAAACGCTGGCTGAGTCATGAAAGTCCTTAATATATAATAAATATTCACAGATATTTCATTTTTAGCGGTGAGAATTGCCAAATTATTCAAGACTTTTGAATTACTTAAAAACAGCAGGCCTTTCATCTTATCGTCTCTGGGGTTTACAATATAATTTGGTATATATTTGTGTTTTAATCTTGTAACATCGTCATTATGACACATTGATAAATAATGAAACTGATTACCAGTGCAATTATCATTACATAAAGTACAAAATCGTTCTTCTTTTCGAATATTGTATCATTGACCAGTTTCTACAGGAATTTGGATATTTGAGCATCTTAGTTTAGTTAAATGTAGGTGGGATTCTAAATTAAAATCACATATAATTTTTTAATAATTTGTCAAAATGTAGTTTATATCATGCTTTTTTCAAAAATATAATAAAAAGTATGGGTCACCAGGCTTTTTTTCACGCTATAGGTTGTGCATTTTGTATAGATTATGCATGGAAAACCCAATTTTGTGTGATAAAAAGAAAACTACACCATAGAATTTTAAGATAAAATATGAGGAGATAGCTCTAATAGTATGCTTTTAGATAAGAAAAAGAAACTAGAGGCTCTCAAGAGACTGTGTCGCTCACCTGATTCTACTTTGGTTTTGGAAATCATGTAAAAATAGATTAAAATCATAACAGATACCCTAATAATGATTGAGGCCAAATTTGGTTTAATATTGGCCCCATAATTTAATCAAAAGACTTTTGTAAAGTTTACAGAAATTACCAATAAACTCTTTGAAATTGTAGAAAATGACTTTATAAGGACAATGACAAATCAGCTACAAAGTAACAACACTTGGTCAGCACCTCAAACATTCATACCATGTTTGGTTTCAATCCATTAAGCGGTTTTCTAGAAGAAGACATTTGTATATATTTCCCATAGGGTCCTTTGTTAAACTAAGTCCCCCGTTTGCAACCATCTTGGTTGATGAATTTGCTACAAAGTAACAACACTTGGTCAGCACCTCATAAGGTAACATTCATGCCATGTTTGGTTTCATTTAATTCAGTGGTTCTTCAAAAGAAGACTTTTGTATGTATTTCACATAGGGTCCTTTGTTAAACGAAGTCCACCGCTGGCAGCCATCTTGGATGATTGATCGCCTACAAAGTTACAACACTTGGTCAGCACCTCATAAGGAACATTCATGCCATGCTTGCTTTCATTCCATTCAGTGGTTCTCTAAAAGAAGACATTTGTATGTATTTCCCGTAGGGTCCTATGTTAAACGAAGTCCTCCGCTGGGGGCCATCTTGGATGATGGATCAGCTACAAAGTAACAACACTTGGTCAGCACCTCATAAGGAACATTCATGCCATGTTTGGTTTCCTTCCATTCTGTGGTTCTCTAAAAGAAGATGTTTGTATGTATTGTCCATAGGGTCCTATGTAAAACTAAGTCCCCCGCTGGCAGCCATCTTGGATAATGGATCGGCTACAAAGTAACAACACTTGGTCAGCACCTCATAAGGAACATTCATGCCATGTTTGGTTTCATTCCATTCAGTGGTTCTCTTAAAGAAGACATTTGTATGTATTGTCCATAGGGTCCTATATTAAACAAAGTCCCCCGCTGGCGGCCATCTTGGATGATGGATCGGCTACAAAGTAACAACACTTGGTCAGCACCTCATAAGGAACATTAATGCCATGTTTGGTTTCATTCCATTCAGTGGTTCTCTAGAAGAAGTTCAAAATGTAAAAAGTTAACGACGACGCCGGACGCCGGACACTGGACGCCAAGTGATGAGAAAAGCTCACTTGTGCCTTTGGGCCAGGTGAGCTAAAAATGGGGTCACCAGACTCGTTTTCCTGCTACATAATATAACAGGTAAATTCACAACACATTCTATTATAAAAGATACTTTATCTGAGTTATCTCCCTTTAGTGGCAATGTTGGAAAAAAATTAATCAAAAAAAATATTCTGTTTTTTGGTAAAATACAGCCGTAAAATATGATAAAACACATAATTTTCTTTATCAACATGAAAAGTCTCACACATGAATTACAAACTATCCACAAATTTGCACATTTCATTAAAGATCTAGACTGATTGTTATCTGCTATTTCAAAATCCAAGATGGAGGATGACACCCCATGTACCTTAAACATATTTTAGTCTAATATATTGTTTATAATTATTTACCAACCTGACAGTAACCTTGGTCATGGTTTTTATGTGCGACAGCACCCAGCACATTTCTGAGAGGTTTACGTAACCCGTCTGATGTGGAAAAATAAATATTCTCTGGGAATGTTCTGTGGAGATCTAAAATAGAAAATGAATGAGTATCTTACACACACAAAATCAGGGATAACATAAACTTTTTAATTAATTCTTTTGGAAGTCGTGTCCATTAAAGTTTAATCCCTTTTAAACAATATGTAATTACAAGGTTGACTTTCGATGATCTTTTGTGTCCATTAAACTTAAATCCATTTAAAACCTGATATGACATGGTTGACTTACCAAGTTCTATTGTGTCCATTAAACTTTAATCCTTTTTAAACAACCTGTAATATTACATGGTTGACTTACCAAGTTCTCTTGTGTCCATTAAACTTTAATCCTTTTTAAACAACCTGTAATATTAAATGGTTGACTTACCAAGTTCTCTTGTGTCCATTAAACTTTAATCCTTTTTAAACAACCTGTAATATTGCATGGTTGACTTACCAAGTTCTCTTGTGTCCATTAAACTTTAATCCTTTTTAAACCTGTTTTGACATGATTGACTTACCTATTGCATCCTTTAAACTTTCATATTTTTTTAAACCTGTTATGACATGGTGACTTACCAAGTTCTCTTGTGTCCATTAAACTTTCATCCTTTTTAAACCTGTAACTTATGACATGGTTGACTTACCATAATCTATTGTATCTATTAAACTTTCATCCTTTTTAAACCTGTTATGACATGGTTGACTTACCATGATCTATTGTGTCCATTAAACTTTCATCCTTTCTAAACCTGAAATGACATGGTTGACTTACCATGATCTATTGTGTCCATTAAACAAAAATCCTTTTTAAACCTGTTTTGACATGGTTGACTTACCAAGATCTATTGTGTCCATTAAACTGACAACCTTTTTAAACCTGTAATGACATGGTTGACTTACCATGATCTATTGTGTCCATTAAACTAAAATCCTTTTTAAACCTGTTTTGACATGGTGACTTACCAAGTTCTGTTGTGTCCATTAAACTTTCATCCTTTTTAAACCTGTAATGACATGGTTGACTTACCAAGATCTATTGTGTCCATTAAACTGTCAACCTTTTTAAACCTGCTATGATATGGTTGACTTACCAAGATCTATTATTTCTATTAAACTTTGATCCTTTTTAAACCTGCTATGACATGGTTGACTTACCAAGATCTATTGTGTCCATTAAACTTTGATCCTTTTGACTAAGTAACAGTTTTTTGTATGTATCAGGATTTCTTTTCATTTTCTCATCAGCTCCACTTACACACATCCAAACCTGAAATACAATTACTGTAACAGTTCTATGGTTATCATCAACTTATCTTCTTTATGGATATCCTTCTGGTGAACTGTTATAGCAAAGCACACTTAAATAGTCCATTGAATTCTGTAAAGTGGTCTATTAATTAGGAGTTAAAATTTCAATTTTTTTTGGGCAAAACTGGCCAAGGAATTTTATTTTCTCATTTTTTTCTTTTCTTTGATTTAGATGAAACTTACATGAGGGAAAACTTCCCAGCTTTACTGTACTTGTATAAGTTTAAATACAATATAGGTTTACTGTACTTGTATAAGTATATATAGGTTTACTGTACTTTTATAAGTATATATACAATATAGGTTTACTGTACTTGCATAATTATATATACAATATAGGTTTACTGTACTTGTATAAGTATATATACAATATAGGTTTTCATCAGATGAGTTAATAAAACATAATTACAAACTTATGAAATATGTGAACTTTTGAACTTTTAAATTATGATTTAGATGAGTGAGTGACAATGTTTTGTATTCAGATCTGTACCAAAGGAAACCAAATTTGTTAAGGTTTTATTTTCAGCAGATGGCCTTTGCCCAAACCAAGGCAACCAGGTTCAATATTATGAAGCTGTATTCAGCAAACAATCTTTATGCAAAGTTTTATAAAAAACACAAACTTTATATTCATCAGTAATATCTAAATCCTAATTTGTTCAGAAAGAAAATCTCATTACATGAAGGATGTTTAATAACAGTGTAATGTGACTCTGGGAGATGGATTGTCAATTCGGTAAAGATTTTCCTTTCCATTAGTTTCTATTGCCTAGTATTGGTCATGTTTTTAGACGTGAGGTTTACGTCAATGAGACAGCAATCCATCAACATTATTAACCAAAAGACATCTTGAGGTCAACATACAGCCTGGAGGACAGGATTTTAGAAACAACCAAAGATCTGCCATCACATTTCACTCTGATATAAAATTATTTTCTTACCATTGCACGGTGTCCATTTGGAATACCTTTCCTGCAAAATCTTTTCACTGAAAAAAGAATGCAGAGATATTCAATACAAATCCTCCATTTCATATACATCTTACATGTCCAGTAAAATTATCAAGCCATTACTTTACCTGAATTTTTGTGAAATGTTTAACAATGATATATTGTCTTCAAACATCTAGATTCTGAAACAGAAAATAAGTATTTTCTTGAAGATAGAATCATTAGGAGTCAACACTGACCAGGTTATTTTCCTCTCCATGTAGCTATCTTGTATTCAGTGTTGGTGAAAATGGTATATATGTGCTACTGGATAACAGTTTTTACCAATAACAAGGCTAGAAAATGCAAGCAGTATATTCTGGTACATATATTAATTATTTGCAATTAAGTAGCCTTACTAAAAACATAAAGACTGAATGTTTGTAACCACCTGTCAGTCCTAAAAAATATACAGTGAATACATGAGACTATGTCTCAGTCCTAAGGTTAAATACAGTGCATGTCTGTGACCACCTCTCAGTCCTCATGTCATATACAATGAATGAATATGACCACCTCTCAGTCTAAGGTCATATGAAGTGAATGTCTGTGACCCCTCTCAGTCCTAAGGTCATATAAAGTGAATGTCTGTGACCCCTCTCAGTCCAAAGGTAATATACAGAGAATGTTTGTGACCACCTCTCAGTCCTAATGTCATATACAGTGAATATCTGTAACCATATCTCAGTCCTCATGTCATAAACAGTGAATGTCTGTGACCCCTCTCAGTCCTAAGGTCATCTGTGACCACGTCTCAGTCCTAAGGTAATATACAGAGAATGTCTGTGACCACCTCTCAGTAGTCCTATGGTAATATACAGTGAATATATGTTACCCCTCTCAGTCCTAAGGTTGTAGTAAACAGTGAATGTATGTGACCCCTCTTAGTCTTAAGGTCATATAAGTGAACGACTGTGACCACCTCACAGTCCTCAGGTCCTATACAGTGAATGTCTGTGACCACCTCTCAGTCCTAAGTTCTAATACAATAAACATCTGTGACCATCTCTCAATCCTAAGGATATATACAGTGAATGTCTGTGACTACCTCTCAATCCTAAGGTCATATACCGGTACTTTGAATGTCTGTGACCACCTCATAGTCATAAGGTCATATACAATGAATGTTTGTGACCACCTCTCAGTCCTCAGGTCAAATACAGTGAATGTCTGTGACCACCTCTCAGTACTCAGGTCATATATATAGTGAATGTCTTTTAACCCTCTCAGTCCTAAGGTCATATGAAGTGAATGTATGTTACCCCTCTCAGTCCTAAGGTCATATGAAGTGAATGTATGTTACCCCTCTCAGTCCTAAGGTCATATGAAGTGAATATTTGTGACCTCTCTCAGTCCTAAGGTAATATACAGAGAAATTGAGAGAATGTCTGTGACCACCTCTCAGTCTTAAGGTCAAATACAGTGAATCTCTGTGACCATCTCTCAGTCCTAAGGTTAAATACAGTGCATGTCTGTGACCACCTCTCAGTCCTCATGTCATGTACAATGAATGTCTGTGACTTTTCTCAATCCTAAGGTCAAATACAGTGAATGTATGTGACCCCTCTCAGTCCTAAGGTCACATACATTGAAATTCTGTGACCAAGTCTCAGTTCAATGTTCACACACAGTGAAATGTCATATACAGTGAATATATTTATTTTTCCGCGTTTCGAAGAATAGCGGGAAAATGTTGTCTAAAAGGAATGTTTTTAAGAACGGTATGTTTTGGCAGTTTTATTATGTGCAGTTGTACACGTGGTTACGTGGACCAATCATTTAGATTGTGTCAATAAGTATTCTTATGTTAATGAGGTGAAAGCGGGTTTTTTAATTTTCTTTGTGTTTGAAAATCATTCTAGCCGATGACGTTCAACACTAAACTTAAATATGTCAGAGCCGGCAGAAATAAACATGCTTATCGACCAGAAAATTAAAGACGCAATGAGCCAGAATCAGAATGAAATCCTTCAGAGTATCGACAGACTAATGTCTAGTCATCTAGATACTTTCCAAAGATCAGTTCATGAAACACAGAGGCAGCTATCAGAAACTCAGATGTCAAAAATCCAACAGATGAACTCTGAAAATTACGTCTTCAAACGAAAAGGAAACGAAGAGCAGTTCAGAGTCAACACAAAAATCGCCAACAAGATGAAAGAGGCCAGAAGTCTACTAACAGAAACACAGGACAACAATGAAAACACAGCGGGCGCAATGAGGAACATTAGTGAAGGTTTGGACATTCATACTCATCGACAAAAATTGATTAAGCTCGCGGATCAGTCCAAGAACGGATGGAGAACAGCTTTTGAGTATGAAACGCACAGTCTAGCAGATGATTCCGAAGAAGAAAAACGCATAATACGAGCAGAAAACAAAGCGTCGAAGAAAATGAAGAACGACAAAAAAAATTCAAGACACGTACAACTCCTTACAGTGCCCCACAGTCGACTCGATTCAGCTCAGTCAATCAACAGAGTACAGTTAACATTCCTGTGGTGAATCGACCCGGAAAATGTTATGAGTGTGGTTTATCAGGACATTGGAGGTCAGACCATTATAAACAGGGTTGACAAACGCAGAAAGAAAAGTCTGATAAGATAAGTACTAAATTATTTTCAAATGATTTATCTGTTAACGTTTGTAAAGAAAACGCTATAGTTTCATGTAATTCACCTGTAGGTAAATTAAGAAGTTCAATTGATTATTGGCAAAATATTATTTGCGCTAATGAGACAGTTATTGAAATAATAGAACATGGATATAAAATACCTTTTCACACAGAACCAAGTGAGGTATTTTTGAATAACAACAAATCTTCATTAGAAAATTCAGAATTCGTAGAAAACGAGATTGTTAAATTGATACAATTAGGATGCATTAAAGAATTTTCATGTAGACCTAAAGTGATCAATCCGTTGACTGTAGCTAACAATAAATACAAATTAAGATTAGTTTTAGATTGTAGACACATTAATCCACATCTCCATAAATTCAGATTTAAATATGAAGATGCTAGCGTAGCCAGTCAGATGTTTAAGAAGGGAGATCACTGCTTTACTTACGATTTGAGATCGGCTTACCATCATGTAGAAATATTCGATCCACACAAGACATACTTAGGTTTTGCTTGGGTCAAAAACTGTGAAACAAAATATTATGTTTTTAATGTTTTACCTTTTGGTATATCTACAGCTGGTTATATATTCACCAAAGTAGTAAGGTGTATTGTTAAATATTTACGAAATTCAGGTTTGAAAGTTATCATGTATTTAGACGATGGCTTAGGCAGGGCTGACGAGATAAGTAAGGCCCATGACACTAGCATAGTTGTTCAGATAGTACTGAAAGCTTCTGGGTTTTTAATAGCAGAAGATAAATGAAATTGGACACCTAGCCAAAATGTCGTATGGTTGGGTTTGGTATGGCAATTTGACAAAGGCATGGTTTCAGTCACGGAAAGGCGACTTTCCAAATTGTTAGATACATTGAATCATATTATACACAAAATAGGCAAAGGAGAAATACACGCTTCAGCAAGGTTTCTTGCTTCAATAATTGGTCAGATCATATCTATGCAAGGGGAAGTTGGTCCTGTAGTCAGACTACGTACAAGAAGTATGTACGAATGTATTTTGTATAGAGCAAGCTGGAATGCTAATGTTCTGTTGAATAGTAGATCTCTTGATGAGATAGTTTTCTGGAAGGAAAACATAGAGAAAATGAATGGCAGAGAATTGCATATTAGTGAGCAATACTCAAGTGTAGTATACACAGACGCCTCGGGGATAGGTTACGGTGGCTATTTGGTCAAAGCCACAGACGAAGAGATTATGGGTAGTTGGAACGATGTTAGCAAACTTGATGAACAAATTGTGTAAAATTGTCTTTAAAGGGCAATAACTCCTTAAGGGGTCAATTGACAATTATGGTCATATTAACTTTTTTGTAGATCTTACTTTGCTGAACATTATTGCTGCTTACAGTTTATATATATCTATAATAATATTCAAAATAATAACAAAAAACTGCAAAATTTTGTTAAAACTACCAATTCGGTGGCAGCAACCCAACAATGGGTTGTTCAATTCGTCTGAAAATTTCAGAGTAGATAGATCTTGACCAATTGAACAATTTTACCCCACGTCAGATTTGCTCTAAAAGCTTTAGTTTTTTAGATATAAGCCAAAAACTGCATTTGACCCCTATGTTCTATTTTTAGCCATGGCGGCCATGTTTGTCGATGGATCAAATCTTCGGATACAATTTATAAACTAGATACCCTAAGGAACATTTAGTTAAAGTTTGAAGGTATTTGGCCCAGTAGTTTCAGAGGAGAAGATTTTTTAAATAGTTTACAACGACAGATGAAGACAGACGACGACGACAGACAACGACAACGACGACGGACGACGACGGACGCCAAGTGATGGCATAAGCTCACATGGGGCCCGAAGTCGGTGAGCTAAGAAGGGCAGCAAGAAATCTGATTTACAAAATATCACAATTAAAATAGCAAATGTATGTGAATCGAATAGCATTAAGATCGTACCAGAGTGGGTACCTAGACAAGAGAACGTTAAAGCAGATAAAATTAGTAAAACTGTTGATTGCGATGATTGGAAGATAGACGATATTACATTTGAATATCTTAATCAGAACTGGGGTCCATATACCATAGATAGGTTTGCCACTGATTACAATGCAAAATGTAGCATATTCAATTCTAACCATTGGTGTCCAGGTACACTGGGTATTGATGCTTTCAATAGACATTGGGGTAAAGAAAATAACTGGATCGTGCCACCATCTTCGGACATGGGATCACGATGTATACACAAAATAATACAAGATAAAGCAGATAGCACTTTAGTTGTTCCTTTATGGGTTTCAGCACCATATTGGCCTCTTTTACACAAAGTCTATGGTAATGTTGTCGAAGTCGAATCGTTCATTAAAGATAGTAAAATATTACCATCAACAGTTGTCAGGGGGG